AAATCACTGACCTAGTCTCTTGTGTGCCAAGCTACAAATGTTGTGGTTCAACATTTAACTTAATCAAAACAAGTAAAACCACAACATTTTGAGGTTAGTACACAAGATACTAGGTGGAAGAAACTTATTTTATGATAATGTATGATAAGCTTCCATTTCTACAAGTACTAGGGAAAAAGTGGTAAAATATAGATCTGTTTAAATAACCCACAAATGCTGATTTTATTAGTAATTTCTTTTTTTATAAAAATTATGGGTCAAAGTATGGATTAAGAAATTGATAGTACTAATAATTCTGCGTCTACCGAAAGTAAAACCCAGAGACCAGACAATTGGGATAAGTTGATGAAAGACCAATAGCTGAATTTTTCCATGATAATTTAAGTAATTCTCATGATATTAGTCAATTTCACTTAGCCTTGCCTCACCAAAAAGTGTTATTATTTGACTGGGATTTAGCATCGACCTCGCCTGGGCCTAATCAGCATCCCCAATGAAGTCGAACTTGGGGAGTGAAGTCTATATTATCGACATGTGGCGACTACGCTAATTAGTCCCGTGTTCCTGTAAGTCATAGGGCAATGTGGCTCAAGACAATCAAGGTATCTGCTATAGTGGCGTTTATTGGGATTTTTGATGAGGTAAACATTTATTGTTTCATTCATTATATTTATACTAAATAGGTTTCGAGATTTTATAATACTTGAATAAGAGTTTTAGTCGCTCACAAGATCTAGTGCTAGCCTCGTGATGGATGGTGAATATGTTAGTTATAAACGATTATGCCTCAAGATAAATTAAAATTTATTTTCCTAAATAAGAACTATAGTATTTAATTATGGATGTAGTTTTCTTTAATTCTAATGATTTAGTGGCGGGGCGAAAACTATTTCGAAAAGATGATCAGATAGGCCACTTATCTTAGTTCGCAATATCACCAAGAAGACATCTTTCTAAAAGCTGAGTGAACATTTTTCAATTAGGCGATAGGACAATGCATAAAAATAGCTCAAAACTCTCCTCGGTTATACCTATTTCTCGAGAAGTATCAGATCCTCTTTACAGACCTAGTTTGTGTTCACGCATTAGCATATATAAAGGGAAAATCTGTCAACCTATCCAGGCAAGTTTTTCTAAGTATAAAATTGCTTGAACTAACTAATACAGAACATCAAATAAATATTGGAAAGATCTTTATTTCGTATAAAAGTGCATGAACAGGAGATTCGAAGCTTGATCTCATTAGAAGACGATGGCTGATTACCTTTATACTCTAGCCTTTTGGCTTTACTACGACTTTCAGATTGACACAGTCCTCGAGGCATCCTTTTTCGGTTGGGGTAAAAACGGGCTGAGCCTACATCCAAAATATGATAGACATCATTAAAGATCGAACTAATTTTTGCAAAGCTTTACGTCAGGAAAACTGTCCGGCCCTAGTTTATCGCTGATATACATTAATAACTAAAAAACAAGCTTACATATCATTATTTCAACCATGCTTGCTTACGACGGACGTATGCAGTCTCGGTCAGGTCTTTTTCTTGGGTCATTAAGCTTTAATACTCGGAGTCTGACATTGGCCCTCTTTTGATCCCTCTGATTACGTAGACGTTAGCACACGTATGCCTATTCATTTTCGTTTTTTAGTTGGGTATTAATAAGAGTCTAGATATAGCATTACAGTCTTCTTGAATTAGTGTTAACGTGAGACTTTTACAAGAATAAGTTTTGCTCTGGGTATGTCCAACATATGGTGGACGAAAGCTCAGCCTATTTTCACCCGAGACAAATAAAGATTCCTCGTGGGGTTATTCAACCTAAACGTCATATTAGACCAAACTACTGCGGTACAATGGAAATCATCCTTCGTCTTCAGGTGCAACCGATCTTCGAATCCCTTCTTCATGCCTTTTCATACGAAACGAATTTCTCCACAATAATGTTATCTCAGGAGCTTCTTAGAAAACCAGTTACTCTTCATATAAGTAAATGATCTAAAACACGTTTTGCTTTATACAGGGACTAAAGATCAAAGCGTAAACCTAGGGATTATATTAAAAACAAGCATAATAGCCAAGATATTGAATAGGAGGAAATTGTGTAGAAAAATGAGTGGCGACTAATTGTGGTTTTGAGAAATGATCAGAGTAAGACAGATGGAGAGATAGAAGGGACAAGGAGAACTGATGAGCAAGAGGACGCTTGAATAGCTTCGAATATAACACTCGTACCCATACCCCACATGTCTATTGAGCAATGAGTGCATTCAAAACTCGTTTACCTACAGACATAAACATACTCCAACATTGCAGGCTTAAACTCTAATCTTTATTTAAGGGTATAGTTGTAATCGCATTCGCATTCCCTAAAATAAGCATAAGCCGGTCAACTAAATCATAGGACGCCCCAGTAAGATTTAAAAATATTGTATTTGTTTAGAATAAAGGTGCTTCTTCAGTAAATAATTCATCGTAGGCGCATGAAGGTAAGCTGAAGACCTCTGCATATTCCATTAATCACAAATACAAGAACCTATATTCATTTTCTGGTGAGGCCAGGCTATGAAATATTTGCAACCAACTTATCCTGCAAAATGAATATTCCAGTGGTACTACATTCTTAATGGATTTCTCATAATACAACTCTACTTCATATATACTAATAAACATGAAGAAAGGTGATTAAACAATTAATACATATTGGCTCATATTATTGCTGGGCCTCTGATATAAAAAATATTTTGTGGGCTGAAATATTAGATGATCCAGCTTGCCTTGGTCTATATCCTCGATGAAGTTTCCCCAAATAACTTTATTTGGCTCATTGGGATCTGCATACTTGGCATAAAGCAGCTCCATCTGAGCAGGTGATAGTGGATGCAATTCAATTCGAGAGAGTCCGGCTTTAGCCAGGCAACGGTAGAACTGAGTTCGCGTTATCCGGCCACTACGAAGCTGGTCGAAATCCTCAAAAAATGGCTTTAATGAAATTCTATTTATCAGCACTATGTGGCGAATGTACGACATCAGGGTCTCTATGTCCCACTTGTCACCTGCGGTTGATATTCTTGGAAGCACAATCAGATCCCAGTTCTGACGCTGGTTGCGCTTGATAGCCAGACTATTCCCAATTTCCGGTTTCTCGTCCCTGGGCTGAATATTTGTGAATTTGATCATACATACAAAGATAAAATATTAAAAGCTTCTACATGTTTGAATGTGGAGTTGGATTCGTACGAATTTAATTCCCAAAGGATTACCACATTATAATTCTCAGGCATATTACTGTTAAAAAGACGATCCTCATATCATTAATGTAGGACTATATTTAACTTTTATCTTTTTCAAGTATTAAGCTAGCAATACTGTATATTCCTATCTATAAAGCATACCCTAGAAACCTTAAAGTAATTTATTCTACCTATAGTAGATTTTAATTTTCGGCAATGATGTCGTAAATTCCTTACAAATTTCCTATGAATCTTGTTGTTGTGATTTGTAATGAGGCATGCGCATAATGTTTTAGGGACATATTTGCAATTAAAAGCATTATAAGAAAGTTAGCAAAATGTAAAAACTAAAATTCTTTAAATCGTAGATATGAGAAACAAGGTGGTGTGGCCTTCTGTTATGTCGCAATCTTCTATGGCTTTATAGTGTTGTTTTAATCTCGTTTGCGCAACTTGTTCAGAGCAACGGGAAGACCTCCTGGAACACACCTAGTCACGCGTCCTCTGCCGTATTATTCGTTATTTTCAGCATCATACCATTAACTTTGCACATTTCTAAACGTTTCACCGGCATCGTCAGTGCGAAGCGCCATCGTTAGCACAGAGTTAGAACTTATCAAAGTGACAAGTCAGGGCGATCCCCTTAACCAATTTTCTTTTCAGCTGTTGTGGTATCACTCCTCGCCATTATTCTTTGTCCTACCTGCTAGGGCTGCATTTCATGCACTTAAACTCACTTCATATTATCCCCATTCACCTAGTTACAACATTTTGCCTTCTCATTTATTTCAATGTCCCTACAAGTGGATTTAATGAGGCATAATGAGCCTTACCACCGGTTCTATATGCCGTTTGCAGGATGTATGACCAGAATTCAGCCTCCATTCTCCACCCTGTTTGTCAAATAGTCGCTGCTACACATTAAAATCGCTGTCTGGTTGCCTATGACACTTTAATTCTCATCCAATTTAGAGCATATTCGAGGGTATAGAGCCGGTGATGTCAATGCCTAAGTATCGTCCTCTAACTCTGTCTCAGATTCATCATACAGTTATCCTCTTTCTTATCTCCCACCCAAATTGCATCATTCTTTGTGCCCCTGTGTCCTTGTGTCCGGTTTAGTTGGGAAACGCCGGCGTGAAAATGCATACTTTCTCTTTTTGCATTCTTAAATCTCAGAAAGCACACTCCTCTTACTTCTCGAATTGAAAGTCGCATCGAAACCTAGGGCACTAGTCAGATGTTCATGTGTAGATTAGTAGGTATCCCCCACCCTTTATCAAGCATGTCATTAGTAACCTGTGCTGGAATCCGCTTGGTCAATAGATGATTCAAAAAGCAAGTATATAGATTAATTGCTGAATATGAAGAATAAATTATAGATAACTGTTGAGAATCAAGCATAGAGTATTAATTAGATGCTCATGAGCGATTGGTAGGTGTTCCCCGCTTTTTGGTCGGGCGTGTCATCAGAAAACTCTCACTAAAACACACACCCAAAAGTGCCTATAAGCACACAGACACACATGCAAACTGAGGACCTATATATTGCACACCTATGGCTTTAGTCAAGCACCCCAAAGGGAGCATAATCTGCTTGTTTCTGCCCTTTACTTTACAATCCCATAGACCCCAGGTAAATTTTTGACCTTTTCTAGGTTAAAATCCTCTCATTGCAATCGTCTTTTATTGACTTTCCTTTGTCTCTCATGAGACTCTTCTTGGCGATGCCTTTTCCTGTTTTTAAGAGGTTGTCCTGGGTCCAAGTGTCTCCTTTTTCATGATTTCCGTGAATCTCAAAGTCTACTTAGGCAGTACGCGAAATTATCGCTGACTCTTCCTTCTTCTAATCTATTGTTCATCAGATTTCTTTGAAAGCGAATGTCCACAGCCTCCCTGATCATCCGTTTTCAGAAGTTCTCGCCATAGATGGCCAGTCTTTCCGTTGCATTCCAGTCAATTTTGTGGCCTGTAAGGGCGATGTGTTCGACTATCTCCATTTGAATGAATTCTTCATTTTGTGTGGGCAAGCTGGTAAAGAGGGTTGTCTTGTCCTTCCGGATTGTACGAATGTTCCATTTCCATGGTATCATCTGCAGCTTCTGAGCCAGCTAGGGGTTAGGCATATCCATCGTTATTCCTTCCTTTCCCATGCTTTCCTTTAATAATCTCAGTCCTTCCATCTGTTCATCACCATCAGTATCTTGTGTTGTATTCATTCTTCTGGATATCCGTTTCAAAGAAACATCTAATTTAATTTTTCCAGTTCTTCTACCCAAAAATCAGAGTAGACTTATTATGACCATATTTTGGAATATTCAAATCTATATTCCTTAAGTATAGCTAGACTGGAAGTTAAGAATTATTCCATCATGTGATTTCTTTAGAAAAAATCGTTTCTTTAGAATCTCCTCGGAGCAAACGATCTCCATATCCAAGAACGGTAAGTGTTCGTTCTCTTCTAGATCCATTTAAATTTATCTTTTTCATCCATTCCGTTTATGAAGATCAAGAAATCGACTAATATTTCTTTTGTATTAGAGTAGGGTTTCGAGACTACCATGCGACAAGATTGCGAAGCATAAGTACTAATGGCTGCTGAGCCTACGTCTTGAAATGCTCCTCTAACTTTTTCATGTATAAATTAGCCAATAGAATTGAGGGTGGTGAGCCCTTACCGG